CGCCGGCCCCCATGCACCCCAGGTGAGCCTGCCCCCCCCCCGGCAGTGCCCCCCGCCCCAGCCCTGCCCCGCCTGACGCCAGCCTCCCCCCAGTCCCGGCGTCTCTAAGGACCCTGGAGACCTCGGTGTCCAGCGTGGCCACAGGCGCAGCCCTGATCCACGTGTCGGCACGGTGCCACGCCGCATACCTGGCCCCACGCCTGCCCCTGGTCACGCCCACCACCTTCCTCGACCTGCTCGACGCCTTCCTCACCCTGTCGACCCAGATGCAGGCGCAGACCCAGGCCCAGGCCTACCGGTGAGTGCCTGCGGCCCCCGTCCCAGCCCCCTTCCCCCTGGTGCACTTGGCAGGGGGAGATGGGGCTTCAGTAGGCATCTCCTGCCCTGCCCCACGGACGCCCTTGCGGGAGGTGGGGCTGGCGGGGGACGGGGCAGCACCCCAAACTGCCCCCCATCCCCGCAGGCTGCGGGCCGTCCTGGACAAGCTGCAGGAGGTGAGCGAGAGGCAGCAGGCGCGGGGCCAGGATGTCCGCGTGCTGCAGGAAAAGCTGCGCAAGGCCAAGGAGGTGCGGGGTCTGGCGGGGGGGGGTCTGTGCTCGTGTGCGTGGAGCTGCCGGGGGCCGAGCATGGGGCTGGGCATGCCTGACCCCCAACCCCACTCCAACCCCCCCCCCAGAAAGTGGTGCGGTGCCGGCGCAGGGCAGAGCAGGAGGAGGCGGTGCAGCGGCAGCAGGAGCAGGACTGCCAGCAGCGCCAGGCGCGGCTCGAGGACCTGGCCGCCGAGCACAGCCGGTTGGAGCGAGCCCAGGAGGAGGCCTTGGAAAAGGTGACCGCGATGACCACAACCCCCTCACCCTCCTCCTGTCCTCCACACCTCCCTCGGGGTGTGGGCCCCCCTCCAAGGCTGCCAGGACCCCCATCAGATAAGGGGCCCTCTGTGATACACCCTGACCCCCAGCACGCCCCATCAGGGTGCAGGAACCCTCCGACCAGCCCCACCCCAGCGCCTCATCATCAAGGTTTGGGACCCCCCCATAATGCCCTG